AAAAAAAGAAAAAAAAAAAAAGAAAAAAAAAAAAGAAAGGTTTTTGGGCAATTACAATTACATTACTAACAGGAGCTGACCTGCATCACCAACACCCACGATCATCACTGGTACCCTGTGGCACCCACCAAGTGCCAGGCGCTCCCCTGCTCAGGCAGGCAGCTCCTGCTGCAGACGGGGAGCCTCTAGGTGATGCCTGTATATATAATCCCTATACAATGCCCTGTATAGTTACTGATGAATGTTTCTGATTGGGACAGTTCCTAGCAAGCAAAAAGAAACACAAGTTAAGTGAGCAATTTCAGGCTCTGCAGCGGCGATCTCTGAGGTCTCGGGATGCGAGATCTCTTCACACCAAGCTGGGGCTCCCGGGCCCCTGGTGCTTCCAAGTACAGCGGGTCTGGCACAGGAACCGCTCAGCAATCCCTCCCAAGTGTTCAGAGCTGTGCTCCAAGCAGGATGCAACAAYACAGCATGTAATGTAATATCCCTCTGAGCCATGATCCCATCACACTCTGCAATCAACAGAGTTTGGCTTTCTAAGAAATTAATGCCCCTCTCCAAAAGCAGCATTTTTTCCCCTCTAATCTTGCAGTGAATCCATACTGCAGAATAAAAACTAGGTGGCCGTGATCATGTGGATGCAATTAAATTTTCTTTAAAGATGGGGGCAATGATTTCCTTTGTCATAATAAYCACAGTCAGGTAACTGCATGCAACAGTGCCATACCCTCTCGTAAGGTGGTGGTTTTCCTTCCTCACTGCATGTCCCAAACTGCTGCACAGCATTAACCTACATGAATTCCACCACGCAGATGCTGCCAAAGCAGCTGCATGTGCATCATCTTCTCACTAACCCAGGAAGGTGGCTAGAGATAGTGGTGGGGAGGCTTTACGTGATTCAAAATGCTTAAGTTAAAGGAAAATGAAAAAGATCCCTGGGAAGACAGGTGTGGGAACATAAACTGCCATCGTGGGTCCTCTGTAWTTGCCCAGGCCACAGCACAGCCGCCAGCTCCACAGCACATGATCCTCTTCCCTGTTCCTGGGAAAAAGCTCAAAACCTCAAGACTACAACAAGCCACACAAASAGCACGCGACAGATCAAGGACACGACAGCCCCCCAGACCTCTGCAACAGCAGCAGTTTCTTACACAAAACCCCGTGTGACCAGGCAAACCCTTCCATCGCATGGTGATGGAGTTCTTAAAACCGCACTGTGTTGAACGCTGCCATCAACTGAGAAGCAGGAGATCCTAAAAMGCACCTAGGAGAGCGAGCGCGAGCTGCACCAGCACATATTTGCATGCAGGTTTCTAGTCTTGCACACCAAGTCCACATGACAGAACGTAACACATGGATAATTTATGATCACCTCCCATTCTCTACTGTAATCTCTTCTGGGTTCATAAAAATTGAAAGCAGCTCTGTAATGCAGAGAAAAAATTGCACTGTACATTTAACTTCAAAATTAATAAAAACCTCTAAAAACAAACGTATCAGCTTGCAGTGCAGACAACGAAAGCCTGTGTTTCTCAAACAGTGTAAATATTTACAACAGCAGATAGCGAAGAAACAAAACAATCTCATTATTGTTCAGCGAGGACATTGGTCACATTCTGCATTATATACAGCTAACAATGATGTATTTTTTACAAGATTCTCTGCCATATCACTTATTTTCCATTACATCAGAGGATAACGTTTGTGGAAGCTAGTTACAAACAATGGGAGCCAAAGCAGCTTTCTTCACTATTGTTTAATTGCTAATAGCCTTCAATATTCCTCTTGAGCTGGAGTAAAGACAGCACACTATTAACTAAATGAGTTTGGGCTTTGAAATATGAAATTATTGCCCCTTTCCCCCTAAGCAAATAAGAAATTTCAAAAACAGTGCACATACTGTATTTCTTTTTAACGATTTAGGAGTAGAATCCCAGATAACTCTCTATTTGCAGTTTTAGGTCGCAACATAKCTTTTCTTTCAAAGTCTTAATAAAAATCTAGATTTTGGCATCATTATGACAAGCCTTTAAACTCTTCATGAGGAAACAGCTATAAACCACATTCCTTAGGCCTTGCACAACCCAGAGATCACAGAGTTCAAACTAGTTTCTTTAAGGGGCTCAAGAGCAAAGAGGGCAACACAGCAAGTATTCTGTACCCAACTCTTCCACAGATGTTTATGACATAGGAAGTATTTCAGACTACAATTTCTTACACTTTGGAAAGAACCCGAGTTGCTAATGCAGAGCTAGCTACCAAAGTTATTTGCTGTCCCTCAAGTCAAGAGCTATGTTTCATTTCAAGTACAGGGAAAAAAGCTGTGAGATACTGAACTGCAACAGCTTTCAGCCAGAGCTTTTTCTTGAAGATTACATTCAGACCTAGTATTAGCTCTACTTTATAATAGAGTCATATTCTTCAGCTTTTCCCAAGCTGAAACTTTCTCTACACAGTGACAATATCCAGTAAGAAACCTCCTCGCTGCAACAGGACGTGGGACAGGCCGACACTGTGAGCTGTGCAAGAATTCCCATTCCAGAAAAAGAAATCGACCCTGGGTCCGGAGCCCCCGCGCACCAACACCCACCTTTAACTTCATTTTCCTTCAGTTTTCACCAACATGGACATGTGTTTGTTGTGGTTTAGTGAGTCAGAGCAGTTACGTTTTTCGCTCTGCTTGCTCCTGTACACGAGGGAAGGGTAACAATACCCCCAGCTCCCCGTGCTCGGCACCTTCCATCCGTGCACATCCCTTCTCTGGGGGTGGGATTGCTCCTTACTGTTGCAACAGGCACTATCTGGCCCAAACTGAAGTGCTACTGTAACATGAGCAATAACAGCAGGAGATATATTAATCACACCTGCAGTTTCACACCTGCACAAGCAATTGCTGTGGTCAGCAGCAATTGCCAAATTCTTGGTTTGACACAGTTGCTAGAGACAGGGTATTTCCCACCAATTTCAACAACAAAATTGCACTCCGAAGAGTGTCACACCTGTGTCACAGCAGTGCCATTAAAATGTAAAGCTCTCTAAATCCTACAGAGTCAAAGTACGTGAGCAAAACTCATTCCCTTGCAGCACCAGGACAAGGTGGTCTCCTTCGGCTGCCACGCACCATGGTATATGCAGCAGGATCAATAACTCTCCGTGCTCTCCACATAACTCCAGTGTCCCTGGTGAAGCTTACAGACCAGAAACTGCTGTGAGGGAGAGCCAAGCAGCCGGGCTCCAAAGGCTCTGCAAAGAATATACTGAAAAAAGCCACTGTAACTTTCTATTAGCAGAATTAAGGATTTTTTTTTTTTCAAATTGGTCTGGGAACCACTGGGAATGCCAGCCAGCTGCAGAGGCTGCTAAGCAGGAATTCCTGTTAMGAACTGCAGAGTTCAGGACTGCCCGGGTCTGCTTTCTGCATGGAAAGGGGCTGTCTCGCAGTGCTCCCCCACCTTGCTGCTTACCTGGTTGTTCCTCAAGGACGGGCTTCAAGGAGCAGCCTGCATCAGCTGTGCACACACAGAGCTACACAGGGTGAACCCAGGACTCCTCTGCTCCACCAAGTAAAGGTGGAGAGGAATCGTCACCATCAGAGAGCAGCAGGTTGCTGGGAAAAGCAGCGTTCAGAAGGATGCTGCTAACAGCCAGGCCAGTATGGTGCAATGGATTCTTGGATGTTGTTATATATCCACAGGGCAAGCAGAGGAAGTCAACATGGGAAGTTGTTCAGGCAGGGAAAGGCTTAAAATAAAATTCAGGATCATGACGACATCACTGATGCCAGATGACAAGTCACATTTTTCAACCCTATCCCATTTAGAAGCTTCTTTTCTCCCTTCTCCCATAATAGATGCACTTTAAATTAGTTTAGACAGTAGACAGAGTGAGCCAACTGTGCTAAATAAGGTCCTTGCAATTCTGGTTCACATGAGCGCTATTACAAAACCCCATACAATCATGAGGATAAAAAAGATGAAAGGAATGGCAGTTGCTAACTATTATGGCAGTTGCCATTATTATATATCTGCTGAAACTTAAGGCAAGAAGAAAAAGGTCATAATATTTTTTAGCCAAAATTTCATCAGTCTTGGCATAAAGTGTACTGTTGGGAAGCAGAGAACATGTAAATTGCTGAGATCGCATCAGGATTTTACATCAGTTGTATTCAAGCAATCTGCAATGAAGTTAAAAAGAAAGATAGCCCCCTCTTTGGTAGGGGCTCCTACGTATCGGCCGTACRGCACCAAGGTGGTTGTAAGGCATTTAAAGCTGAAAAACGTGAAGCCTGTTATTWCTGAAGCGACAAGAACCCAAAAGCTCCTGCGCTGCAGGGGCTGTTTGCAGGCTCTCATCACTGCCCTCTAAGAGGGGACCTGGGACAATCTCACATGCCTGCATTTGCTGCMAAGCTGACAGACGTCCCACACTGCAACAAAGTCAGCCAATTTCTCAGTGCACCATTTCAGAACAAAACATCCAGCCTGACAACTAAAGAGAGTAACGCAGGGCCCAGTGCTAAATAACTTACTCCATTTTTTTTCTTCTTTTTTTTCACTTCCCCTCTTTTCTTAATKAAAGAAATATTTTTCCCCCCTACAGAACAAAAAGATTCTTTAGACAGGGAAGGTGCCTTCTCTGCCTGGAGAGAGACACTGCTGGCAATAGAGCCCCCGTCAGCCTCTACTCTGGGCAATCAATGAGCACGAATTCAGTGCAAAGGCAGCATCCCAACCCTTACAGCACCTGCTCTCCCCTTTCTGAATAGGGATTCTGCCCTTGCTTTCCCAGATGACAGAGAGACCACTTCAGTCTCTGGTCTTGTGCATTTTGCAGGTTATAGTTTAGAATATGTCTCTAATTAGAGGTCAATAGTAGAATTAGAAGGTAGATTATTTTTAGCAATCTTCTGACTGAGCAAGAGTCACAGTGAACTCTTAATTAATCACCACTTTTCTTCAGACCGCATTTTACGCATCAACTCCAAATGCAACACTTACAATCTCACTCTTCCAAAGCCACCGTCTCAGTCATCCTGGCATGGCCAAAGGAAGCAGCAGTCACTCAAGTGAGAGGGGACTGCTGAAGAGCCCCAGAATTTTCACTCCAAGCCTGGAAAGAGAAAAAGGTCTGGAAAGACACAGCCCTCTTCACACACCCCGATGCAGCCAGCTATGAGCTTGAGCAACCTTCCCCTCTGACAGCTGTCACACCGCGGTGGCATCTTCTGCCGACAGGGTCACAGGAGGCCTAGGAATCACACACTGCACTGACGCACTCATGCTCATCACAGCGAGGTGACAGCATGGAAACAGGAGCAGCCTTGCCCATTTTTTTCTTTTTTTTTTTTTTTTTTTTTTTTTTTTGCACATTTCAGGCCAGACAGAAGAAAAGGCAGGCAAAAGGAAGCAAGCTCAGCCCTCCCTGACTTACAGGGGTGGCTGGACACTGCAGATGAAGAGCATCCCAGAGAAGCAGGTCTGTGCTCCCGTTCATCCGGGTACTGGCTTTGGGGGGACACGGCTACAGTCAGGCTGCTTTCTGCTCTGTTCACTGCTAACCAGAACTACTTTAAATTGTGAAATCCACAGTTTCCTCAGCTTGCCAAATTCCCTATTCCTCAAATCTCACTCGGAGGCATCTGTGAAGGCCCATCCATGGGCACTCCGGATGTGGCTCCATGTGGGACAGTCAGAGTCCAGATCACCGGCTCTCGGGGTTTCTCTTTCCCTTGCTCCCACAGGGAGCAGTGTCAGCCAAACGGTGTGGGAAGGGCAGAGCAAACGCCCTAGGTCTTGTGCAAATACAAGTGACATGGGATGCCCAGAACACCAAAAGCAGAGCACAGGAAAGCCGGATCCCAGAGAGCAGAAATCTATGAGCTGATGGAAAGCACAGGTCAGTGAGTGCAGGAGATGCTCTGTGCTCCACCATTTCCTGCTATGCTGGTCCCAGAGCTTCAGAGCCACAGCACTAGCTGTCACTCGCCCATCAACTTGCCAGGAACAGCACTGTGTGGTTCCACATTTAGGAAAGGRGCCAGGTGGATCAGGGAAAGTCAAAGGGGGGCTGCTGCACACAATTCCAAACTTTCCATTTGGAAAACACACGAATGCCCTGCAAGCTCTATCTTCTCAGCAACTTGCCTGGAAAACACCACAGCGCAATCTTCCCACATTTCCAAGAAGGCTCCCAAAGTATCTCATCTCCAGGAAGCCCTGGGAGCTGCAGAGCTCCTCGGGTGCATCAGAGCACAGCGCTTTCTTGCAAACTTGCCAAATCATGCAGCAGTTTGTACAGCAACACAGAGACCTTTCCAGCCTTGTAATTTTATAACGAGAGCAACTAGGTGAATATTTGAACAATGTTTCATGACTCTTAACTTCAGAGGTCTCTAGCAGACAGGTTACCCTCCCYTGGCAGTTCTGGCCTCAGGACGAAGGGTACAAAATAACTTAATACTCCTGTCATGAGTGTCATGAAATAAAACACACTTCTCATGCAGAGGAGCTGCTAAAAGACATTTATAGAGAGCTTTTGTGCCCAAAGCAATGAGATATTTCAGGGCAACATGCTAACATACTGCTCAAGAACACTGAGGCAYTTAAAAGGCTGAAATTTGATCTTATTTCTGTTGGCTTCTGCTTCGTAATGCCAAGAGCAAAGTTAAATTCCCCTTCTATCCTTTAATCAAACAGGTTTCTTCTTTTTGTTAACTCCCAAGAYCAAGCCAGCCTATCAAGACTCCCACAGATTTACAGCTGCATTTCTSCTCGCCCAACCTCCTCATTTTATCGAGCACTAATTTTGCGAAGAGCCGGCTGCCCCACGACCGCCCCAGCGCAGTGACAGAGCTCAGCGTTTTCTGTGAGCTCTCACAAAGCCTTGCACAGACAGACAGGCATCCAGCGGGCAGGAGGATTAGCACAGGCTCATATCCTACAGTCCTGCGTGCTGGATCTGCAGCGCTCTTGGGGTTACTCACGCCTACGAATTACCTTGTGGCTGAAACCGCATGATCTCCACGGGCTTCAACTCCTCCCTCTGTGCTCCTGACATTGCAATTTACCTTCCCTTCTTCCTGTGGCCTCTGCCATCCCTGCAAATATGTGGCATTCATCCAGCAGGCTGGCTGGGCGTGCACAYGTCCACGTCCCGGTGCGGAGAGGGAAACACCCCGGCAATGTCACAGCCACCGCTTGGCACAGGCGGCAACAGAGCAGCAGGAAGCTCAGATACACACAGGTACAAACACACCCAGAGAATAAAGGTCAAAGCAGGAACATAACTCAGATTTCCTGCCTCTCACTACACACCTCTAGCTGCAAGAGAACTTCCTCTTCTAAATGGATTTTTTTTTTTTTTTTGCAGCCAGCCAGTATTTAGGTCTGCACACGTTAATGTTATTTGCAGCAAGAAAACTCTCATGCAGAGATGATTTTCAATGCCASAGAGCAGCAGTTCATCTGCAAGTTTCCCATTTACTTGAGAGTTGCAGGTGTCACATATACACACACACACAYACACTTTACAAGAGCAGCTTCAGTGACACAAAGGATAAGCGAGCTAAGAGATGAAAAATAAAAGACACTGAAAACAAGTGTCCTTGTTGGTCCTGGCATTTCCAGTTTGCATTTGGCAGGCAGGTTCTACATAAAATTGACTCTGAAAGCAGTGGTGACACCAATCACATTCAAACAGGCAACACTCTGGATGCAAAATTACAAGTAATGTTCAACTCACTTATGGGAAAGGAAGGAAAACCAAAGCCTCCTGTTATCCCCCTGAAAGAGGCGACTTGTTTSCCCATGTATTTTATGCTCCCTCTTGTCACCTACTGTTAAGTATCACCGATGGCCATTCAGGCTGTTTCGGACTTTATCGGGCTTCTTAAGAACAGGAAAGCCAGGGCCAAGTTTCACTTTCTACTGCAGCGGAGTCAACCAGGCAGCTCCTGCAAGTCCTTCAGGAGCTGTTTGCTGGAGGAGGCCATGGGAAACGGGAGAGCAGGGCACGTCCAGGCAGGGGAAGTTGAGGCAATCACTAGAACTTCTCTCTGCAACACGGCCCGTGTCACGAAAGCCCAGGAGAGCCCTGCGTCGCAAGGCTGCCTGTGTGGCGATCCGTCTTATCTTCTCGGATACATACAGCTTACACAGGAATACACCACATTTCTCCCATTAGCCTTCCTCTTCCGACCGATGATTTTGTAGTTACAAGGGATTAGGGCAGGGATTGGCCTAGCGGTGAATCACCCTCGATAACACACTGCGCTTTTACAACTAGAAATAGAGGGATCAGAGAGATTAATCCTTTGTCCTAGATGACACGAGGAGGCAGAGGCAGTGAAAGCAAATATAAATAGCCAGAGGAGGCTCTCCGGTTTGTTACAGYCTCCTTTGTACTGGGAAGAGCCTCTTCCACCAAGCAATGCTTTAGGAGGTTGTCATGAGTGACATTAAATTAAGGACTCCCTTCTGCAAAGCTACCACTGGGAGAGGAAGCTTTCCCGCTAAGGAGCCACATGGCACTCAATATCTTCCATCTCGCAGGAATGTGAAGGCCAGGTTCATCCCACTGCCCAGAAAAGCACCTGAATTTGTAACACCTGACAAAATATTGTTGAATCGGTGCTAACAAGCAGCTTGTACACGTAGATTCGGTTTTGCCCTGTTAGGCCAACACTCTCGATGAAACCCTTTTGAGGGTCACATAAAAATATTACAGGCAGATTTCAAGGCTACCAAGGCCACAGGTAGGATTTATCTGACTCAAATCTACAGTATTCATATTCCGTATTGATTCTGGCCATAAAGTCCACAAGCTTTAAATATAAGATTGATAAATGGGTCTTGAGGAGTAGAGCACTTACCTGCTGACTTGAGCATCTCATTCCATCAAACTGTGGAAAATCTCATCTAGAGTTTCTAGAACCTGTTAATTCTGACAGGCTAGACATACACCTAGAGACCCCAGAACTTAGCTATCATAACAACTAAGGTCAATGGRCATTTGCTGTTGATTCCCGTTATCTAAGTTTCCATACTGTTTTCAGCTGAGTCCATTCAACCACGATAAGCCTCTGGTTGAATTTAAGATATGCTGCCAAGTTCACCTACTTGTTTTTAAAGGGAAATTCAGATAGGCACGCACTTAAAAAGACATAGAAGTTGAGAAGTCATTTACACTGCTGATCTAATAAGGCCCAAACCTGATAATGAGCTGGACACACAATGAAGCCTCTAATCCCTAGGGAAAGAAACTGCACAAGGACCTGTTTAAGGCTGAGGGTGGTTTTGCTGTTTGGGAGCTGCCTGGTCTCTGGTGATGAGGTACCTTCAAGAATAAAACAGCATTGAAATGTTATAGAAAATACTGCTCGCAAAGACCTTGCAAGGGTATCGTGTCCATTTCCGTACTCCACATCGGAATCAATAAACATGATGTAATCTGTGATTTGATTGTTTAATGCTTCACAGGAAGGTGGTTAGATTACTCGACAAAAGACCCACAAATACATCGTGGTAAGCAGTAAAAGAGAATCTGTTTCAGCAACAATGAGTTCTTTAGAGCAGCAGTGTTTTCTGTTAAAGTCAGACAACAGAACCAGCAAAATTGGCCGTAAGGCAGTAAACATCATTTCAAGGACCTGGAGTTTTGGATCTTCACTATTAATGTCAGTTCTGCCACATCGAAGTAGACTACAACCAGTCTTCACAATTAACACACACTTCAGCAAAGCACAAGTTCAGTAATCCACACACAAGATCTATGAGGGCTGGTGGTAATTACACATGTCACTATAAAGAACCAGCGCGGCGCATTAGCTGCATGGCTTGTGTCACTTGTGCTGGCCCTGCAGCAACAAGCACTAGGTGCTTCAGAGAAAGAGCAGACAACCAAATAGCTTAAATAGCTTATTCCCTAGGAAAAATTCCTCTCCGATATCTTATGTCCCACACTTGAAGTTTTCTGTTCCTTACAGCCTCCGATAGCTTTGGCTGAACAGTCAAACACGCACCCTTTTCAACTGAGGCTTAAATTCACCTTGCCTACCCTCAACGTGGGCCTTGCAACAAGAATCCACCTCTGTGCGCAGGGCAAYGTCCCTGGTGGGAGGGAC